TCAATCCCTGCAGTTGCCAGGGTGAAAGAAAGTACACAAGCTAAAACGTCATTTTGAATAGGCACACTGCCCCTGTGATCTAGCCGATCAGTGTGGCTTTTGAAGGGACAGTTTGAGAAACCAAGTTCTCATATGGAGGCCAAACATTGATCCAACTATGGTTGTCTCCCACCTACCAATGTCCCTGTCACAGTTTACGCAGTCACTTCCTGCTTCAGCCCACTCACCACCCCACCATCCCCATTGTTTCTGACTTCTCTGAATTGGCTTTTATCCCATCTTTCTTTGTTCTCTGCATGCAGACAGGATAGGTATAGGAGATGTGACTGTGTGAGGGGTCTGTTAGGAGAGTGTTATCTGGCTTCACCCACAGTCCGAGGGTCTTCAAAAATGAAACTTACAGTCTTTGAGGGCAAGCACCAATGCATGCCTGGGAATATGCTGTGTGTGTGTATGTGTGTTGGATATATGTGTATACGTGTATATTGGTTGTAAATGTAAACATGTTCTTTAAAATAATGGGCTTAGACTTAGGAGGAAGAAGTGAGAGTGTGTGTGGGAAATAGGTACAACCAGGCTGATTGTTTACTAGTCTACCTAGAAGGCGATCCGCCCAAATCTGTGATGAATTACCAAGCAGTGTGAGTTGTAATGAAATAGAAAGAGCTGAGACACTGGAACCAGACACATGGGCTTAATTCCAACTCAAGCACTTACAAGCCAGTGTGAGTTGAATAATCTGTTTCACCTATCAAATCCTTCCTCTGCAAAGTCGGGATAAATATACTATCATATTTAATTCCTAGAGTCATTCAATGATGTAAAGCACGGGGGACACTCAGCCTAGTGGCCCCTGTAGGTAATAAGTGATAAGTAATATTTTGCACAATTGGGGGAAGGTATTGAGGACCAGAAACAACATTCATGGACATCAGAAAGGGTTTGTGAACTGGACAGCATCCCTTTAACCTGGTGTTGAAGCGACTGCCATTCAGGGAGAATATCAGAAAATTCATCTTTGCGGGGACCATGCAGAACATCTTAGCCAAACGCTTTCACTGATGAAAATCCCAGAGTGCACCAAATTGATTTTCCCAAAACCATTCAAAGTAAGCAGCAGAACCTGGCTCCGACTCCTAGGCTCTATTCTGCTGTCACATTTCATTCCTGAGCTGAACTCCAGTCCCAGGTATCACCAATCCAACCCTCCAGTCTCTGCATATAGTCATTTATTCATTCAACACAAATCTCCTGACTGGCTACTGTGTTAGGTTTTAAGGATCAATCCAGACATGGTCCCTAAGCTCATGGAGCACAGAGACTGAAGCAGAAAAAAGTCTTTGATGAAAGAAATGAAGTAAATGGAATGAAGTGTCACTGCAACTAGAAGGTGAAGTCTATAGACTGAGGGTTTTCTCTGAGCATCCCTGTTGCATCCTTATCACTCTGAGAAGCTGGCTTATCCCTGGTCCTGAGGAACATTAGTGGAGAGAAGGCTGGCGAATGCACTGTGTTAGTGCAGCATTTAGAAGTGTGATAGGGAGCTTGTATAATGGGGACTAACATCCCCTCCGAGGTCAGGGAAGGCTTCCTTCTGGAAGGGATGCTGAAAGGGGAGTGGGCACTAACCTGATGAAGCGAGATAGGGGGAGAGATGGTGCGATCAGTGAAAGTGGACAGGAAGCTCTAAAGGAGAGGAAAGCACAACCCCAGCTAAGCAATACAGGCAGCCATATCAAGAGCAGCAGAGATAAGATGGATCACGGTAAACACTGGCAAATGGCAGCGAGAACTACAGAACCTTCTATTGATACAATAGTCTTTAGTCTGGCATACCTCTGTGAGCAGCATTGTATTATTAACAATTCACAATGACAGGCCAGGAAGAATTGTCCCAACTTTAGCAGAGTAACTGAAGTCTTTGTGTGTTGTCAAAGTCACATATCTAAACATGTGTGGGACTCTCTCCATATGTATGACCTTATTGGGCACTCTCATCAGCCTTTAAAGGCAGGTATTAAGATCCTGGTATCATACGTGGGGAAAGTGAGGCTCAAAAAGGTTAACTAGCTAGAACGTGGTTGGCCAACTTGGGATATAAAGCTATGTCTTTCCTAGCAACTGAATTGTACCACTGCCTCCTGCCCCCAACTCATATGTTGAAGCTATAAGTCTCCAGTGTGTATTTGGAGATGAAGACCATAAAAAAATAATTAAGATTCAATGAGATTAAAAGGGTAGGACTTTCATTCATCAGGGTTATTGTACTAATAAGAAGACACACCTGCCAAAACCGGTTTGGCTCAGTAGTAGAGCGTCAGTCTGCGGACTGAAAGGTCCCGGGTTCAATTCCGGTCAAGGGCATGTACCTTGGTTTTGGGCACATCCCTGGTAGGGGGTGTGCAAGAGGCAGCTGGTCAATGTTTCTCTCTCATCGACATTTCTAGCTCTCTATCTCTCTCCCTTCTCTCTGTAAAATATCAACAAAATATATTTTTTTTAAAAAGACACACCAGAGAACAATCACCTCTCTCTCTCTCTCCCCCTCCTTCCCTCTCTTTCTCATCTTCTTTCCCTATCTCTAATCCTCTTTCTCTCTTTCCCTTTCTTCATTTGTTTCCTTTATCCCTCCTCCCCTTTATCTCTCCCCCTCTATATCCACCTCTATCTCTCTCTCTCCACAGATGCTCAGAAGAAAATCATGTGAGGACAAATTAGCCATCTAAAAGCCAGGAAGAGAGCTCTTATCAAAAATAGTTTTGGCCTCCAGAATTCTGATAAAATAAATTTATGTTGTTTAAGGCATTGGCCTACAATATTTTGTTATGGCAGCCCTAGAAAATTGATATAGTCTCAATATACTATATCTGCTGTTGTTATCTGTTATGACACACCTCTTTCCTTAGTTCATGATAAAGAGGGACCAGAACCTGGATCATCTAGTGGTCAGACCTAGGCTTCTTCCGTTGGCCCTATTTCCTGTCACTGACACCACTAACGGAGGGGGTGACATCAGGGTAAATGGCTGAGCACTCTAACCACATCTTCTCCTCTTGGTTTTATCAAGACCAAGGATGGACAGTCATAGACCTCAAGGTGTGGGCAGAGGGAGTGGCCTGTGACTGTCCTAGATGCAGCGCTGTGAAAAGACACTCATGGAGTGGTTCCAGGTCTGGGAAAGACAAAAGTCAGCACTTTCTATGTGACTGAGAGTGATCATAGAAAAGAAGGGCTCTGAGGCTCTGCCTCTGTAGGCAGAGCTGGGTACCACTTGCTGCTTCATCTAAATGTCTCCCTCTCTAGGCCCTGGGAGAACACCAGCATCTGATGAAGGGCCCAGTGTGGATTCACTAGCTATGTGTACCTCAGTGTTGCCTGACCTCTTTTTTCCTCCTTTAAACTCATCTTCATTTATTTATTTTTTTATTTTTTTTATTTTTCTGGTTACCTCACAATTTCTTTAAAAAATTTTTTTTTTATTTCACACGTCTTTAAAATGGGGTGAATAACTTGTCTGCACAACAAAACATGATGTCTAGAAATCAGTAGATATTATTACTATTATTAATGACTCTAAGCACTTCTACTTTACAATGAAGATTTTAGAATTAAATCTTTAGCCCTTTTTGCCTTGGGTTGAAAGTATAAAACATTCCTACGATGGTGACTTCTCCATGGAAACAATAATCTGATCATCAATTTGGTCTCTGGGCTGGGTTGCTCTTGGTGCTGCTGTGTAAAGAAATAGCAGCAGAATGGTCATCCTTTTCAAAGGCCACCAAGTAGAAGGTATTTTTGTTGTTATTGTTGTTTGGGAAGTGGGGGGTAGGGGAGGGGCAGGATCCTTTCCCTGAAACACATAATGGCATTTCATATGTGTGCATGTAAAAGCCATCGAGGTCTACATGCTTGCTACTTAAATCCAAAATCCCTAGAGTCTATCTACTATGGAGAAATCAATCAGGGAGGTGGAGCAGGCAAGCCTGTCTCTGAAGTAGGCTCAAGTTCAAAAGCATAGGCATTCAGGCAGGCAGAGGAAGGAAGGAACATGCGGTACCCACCTGCCACTGCTGATGAGGGGCTTATTTCTAAGACACACACAGCACAATGCACACACCATGCAGAGAGAAAACAAAAGACATAGATCACACATTTCAGATGGTTGGTGGACGCCATTTAGTCCATGTCAATGCCGAAAGCTTTTGCAGTGTCTGATGTACAAATGGGAAAATGAATACCTTTTCGTTCTACTCACCAGATGCTTCCCTCCAATCACATCTCAGCAAATAAACAAATACATACACACAAGAAGTCACAACAAGCTGGCCCTGATCCGTGGTGTGAAACGTGGCACAAAGGAGATGGACACAGCAGTGTGGGAAGATTTAGTGAGAGAAGGACAGGGTTTCCTAGGGAGGCCGCCATAGCTCTGGAGAGCTCTCTGTGTGTGGGAGAGAAAGGCCTCCAGAGAAAGGCTTTGGTGCTCCCATTTTGGACAGAACAGTCCTCATGAGGAGGACTCAGAGGGCTGCTCTGTTCCTTCCGATGAATGAGAACATGACACGGCAATCAACACGAGAATCATGGTGACAGCGGTTGACTTGGCTTAAAACTATAAATACAACCCCCCTCCAAAATCATAGACTCTTACTAAAGAGGTTACCTGAAAATTATATCTCATTTACCTTGAAGATATTTCCGTAGCACTACACCTGAACTGTCCCCGTGCTCTGTGCTTTTATGGCAACCACCATCAAACTTGGGTTTGACTTGGGTTTACCCCTTTTGGTGAGGTGCAAACCTTGCCTTTCAGTAGAACGGGAGATAGATACACCACTGTTCCACGTGTGAGGAGAGTGACAGGGGTAGCGTTTTTTATCTAAGGGTGGCGGGTTGAGCGGTATGGATGGACATAGGCCAAGCAGCTCATGCCTTCCTCCCTCAAGTCCCTCGAGCCCCTCCTGTGGCCGAACCCAGGCGCTCAGGCTTTCCGCACTCACCATACAGTGTGATGCTGGTGTTGGTGTTCCCGAGCTTGTTTGTGGCCACACAAGTATAGTTGCCATAATCCTTTTCTGAAACATTGAAGAAAGTCAGAGTGGATATGCGCCCTTTATTCTCAATCCTCACGCCGTCCAGGCCGGTGGCTAGCCTGCAACAGAGAAGGCACTGCTGGTCTGCTTCTACACATAGAGTCAAACAGCGGACAGGAGGTGTTGGGAGAACTAAAATAACATAGGCTGATCCTACAAGGAGGCCTTTCTTGCTTCCAAACTCCCTTTCCTAGGACTGGCCCAGTTCCTGCACCTTGAACCATCGGCACCATGGCTCCCATCAGCAGGAAAAAGAGAAGGAAGCTAACATTCCAAAGGCTACATTTACTGCCTCTCATTATCGAAGACTGCCATGTGTACAGCTAGCCTCAGATTTGGAAATAAGCTCATATTGCCCATTTCCCAGCTTCCTCTTTTTTATTCATTTATTTTTTATTTTTTTGTCCTTATTTCTGGTTCTAAAGGAGCCTCTGTTATAAAGAAGGCAGTAAGACATCTTGGTTCCTCCCTTACTGCATCCCTCTCCTCCCATGTAGGAAGCGCTCCATCAGCTCTGCTCAGGCAGCCCTGTTTCCATCCTCACTGTACCTGGTGTCTTCCCTGAACCACTGGAACTCAGCAGTGGGCACGGCAGAGGCTTCACAGCTCAGGATGCCCTTCTGACCAACGGACACACCCATGTTCTTGGCTTTTGAGATATAGGGAGGGTCTGTGGGGAAAAGGCAAAGCGATGACATGACATGACATGGATAAAGGGCACATTCAGTCGCCCTGCTAACAGATGGATTTCTTTGGACATCTTGCCTTCCCAGTTAGATTACCAACTATTTTAGGGGAAAACCTGCTTGCTTGAAGATAGCGCTTTACCCCTGCATCTTCTTTAGGACCTTAAACCAATTCCAAGCTATCAATTCTCCCCATTGGCTAAGAGCTGTGACAGTCACAGGAAGACTTGGATGGGGCACAGCAATCTAATCATTTTCCTGATGGAGATAACTGGGTCTATCAGAAAGTAGCATTGCGGTTACCACCTTGCCCCTCCCAGAAACCCTCCTCTATTTTCCCCCTTCTGACAATGGTCAACTCACAGTTTACAGTGATTTTCACTTTCCGCACATCAGGAGCAGCCACATCGTTCAAGGCGCTGCATTCATACTCCCCGGACTGGTCACGTTTGATGTCAGAGATTTCCAGGTATTCATCCTCGCTCACAAAGCCCTGGCCTTCTGGGAGAAAAGGAGCAGACAGAAAGCAATCATGAACCTGGGAAACCAGGGACAGAGCACCTTGGCATCTAGGACTGGGAGGAGGAGGGATCTGAAGCGCTGTAGAAAAGGGATTTAAACATCAAGAATATAAAACACCACGTTGGTCCACAATGATGGCATTTGAAGAAAGGACTTATCTGCTTGAGTCTTGGGTCTTTTGCCCAACTCACTTTAACTTTTTAGACTATTTGGTGAGAAGATATGTTTTCTTATATAATTCCTATGAGGATAAACTAAAAGAGTTCATGTGAAACAGGACAGCACATTACTAGAATTTGATATTTTAGAGAATCACCATAGTTAATAACATAACAAAGACAGTGGGAGTAACTTTAGAGTATGTTAGTATGGCCACCTTAATTGTTTCACTATGTAGAAATGCCTCTGAATACAGAATACAAACTATTTCTTCATGCAGAACAAATAAGTGACCACTTAACATGTTTATACAAAAAATGTGCCAAATAGCTGGTTTGGTTTCAAACTGTGCAAGAGAAGATAAAGTAAAGAATGAATGAATAAGAAAGGACTTTGTGACTGCTATGTAGTAGATGCGCTATAAACTCTTGCCAACATAAATGTGATAGCCCCAAATGATGGATCCACAGTTACTAGAATGGTGTCATGGATTAAATACCCAGCTTTGTCGGGGGCATTCTGGAGGCTTTATTCCTAGGCATTTGTGAAGCTTGCAATTCATGATCCAAAATATCTGGGGACTGCACAATGTACATTGCTTGCAGTCTCCATTGCATGCTCTTGCCACAGCCTGGCCCCTCTGCCATATTCCTAATCCCATGGCCAGTGGTTTAATGCAAAGAGAACAGATGCTCTGTCATGAAATACACATGTTCTAAGTTTCCTTAAACAATCGGGCTCCAGTGAAAACCCAGTTCGCACAAAGGCCAAGGAGATGTACACTGAGTGGCAAGATTATTGTGATCTCTGAATGTATAAGAATCTGGCACTCAGTGTATACCCTATATAATAATAGGCTAATATGCATATTATCCCCTCAACCAGGAGTTTGACCAGCAGGCAGGCCAGTCAACCCACCCATGTCCCAAATTCATGCACTGGGCCTCTAATATATATATACTGAGTGGCCACATTATTATTATTATGCATTCAGAGATCATAATAATCTGCCCTGGCCACTCAGTGTATAGTCTTTTGCATTTCTCAGAGGCCTGCTGCCTGATTCCTTTCTGTGTCCCAGGAATTATAACAAAATACTTTTCAGGACTATACAAGCTCATCCTACTTTCCTCACACCCCCACAGAAGCATCTAAGTCTGCGTCTACCATGAGTGGACTAGGAGGATATGGTGTGCTAGGACCCCGAGTGGTGTTCCGCATTTGTGAGTAGGAGAGTTCCTGGGTCCTTCATGGAGGAAGAGAGGAAATTGATTTTCACCATCTGTAATGCCGTGTATATGGGATGGATATGTGACAGCAGAAAGGAAGGAAGGAAGTGTTTCTTGTAAAGTGGGGATCATTACGATAATACTACCTCATTAGGTGAGAGCTGAATTTGTCAAGTTTGTGCTGTAAAGTGAGTGCTTCTCAAATTTTAATTTGCATATGAATTCTTCTGGGATTTAAAATATATAGAGGGAGATCTGAATCAGTGGGCCGAGAAGGGGCCTTGGGATTCTGTATTCATAACCAATTTCTCTGTGCTGTGGGTCTGAGGCCCACTCTGAGCAGTGAAGCTAAAAGGCACCGCCAACTGCTGCTCTAGGCTCCTCCTACTCACACCTGAGGGTCAACTGAGCCTGTTTGGTGACCAATAGGTCAACTAAGGTCCCCAAGTGCCCCAGCTCTCTGCAGACCGGCTCTCTGAAGACCAGCACATCAAGTACAGGGCTCGGAGTGTCCATGGAGGCTGAGTGTCTGAACCCCGAAAGCTACCATTCCCACCAAGTCTTTATGGTCTTACTCCAAAACATGTCCTGCCAGCACAGCTCCTTTGCTAAGAACTGGGAGGTGGATGTTGAAGCTCCTCCCATCACAAGCCCATTGAAGGTGATAAGATGCTATTTTCTTATCTACTTTGAATCCTGGTCAGCTTTTCAAGCAGGACAAATCTAGGTTGCTAAGTGTCTGGAGACATAAGAAACTGAACGGTTTAATGCTCTCATGCCCTCTCCAGTTCTGGTTGCAATGTGCACTTCTGATTCCATGCCACAGAGCAAGGAGCAGAGGCAACAAACATGTTCATTCACTTTGCTAGCTGCCAGGAAGCCACACCACTGACTATGGAGGCAAAAGGAGGTGGGGGGCACAGAGAAGCTCAGAGGGAGGAAGACAAATGGCAAGAGGAGGAGGAAGGTTGCACTGGTGAGAAAGGGAGGAAAGGCAGCTGCAGGAAAAGTGGCCTGATTGCCGTGGGAAACATTCTGAAGACACATTCAGAGGGATTTGAAAAAGCTACACCGCAAGACCACAATATGTTCTCTGGCAGAAGGTAGGAAAACAGGAGCTCCCAATGTGCCTGCCGTGCTGCTTCTTGGTGAGATGTCCTATAACAAGCCAGTTACCCAGAGGCAGTATCCACGTGCCTGACATGTTCAGACAGCCCCATATAACGTGAGTGTGGGCGAAAGGAAGTGACTGAACACTGGCAGAAATATAATAAAAAAAGAGGGACCATTTCTTTCCACAGAGGGAGGAGCACTTCCAAGAAAAGTTCAATTCCCTGTATTAGCAAGATTAAGATCTGCAAGGACTTAAATGAGACCATTTATCAGAGGACGTGGGAGGTCCCTGGGCGAGGACCCCTCAGAAGCAGGGCACATGCCAGGGGGCAGGGTTCTGTGGGCACCAGGGATTTCTTCTCCAGGGAACCATACTATGACTTTACACAGTCATAGAATGGGAAGGACAAGTCCAGGCTGGGCAGGGACTATTCTATCTCAGAAAGGGAGGAGCGAGGAACTGTCTCAGGGAAGGAGCCTAGAGCGGTCTGTGGCCCTGACCTCACACCCACACAACAGAGTTGAGTTAGATGCTGTGGGGATAGAGATGGCATGGAAGACAAGGACCTTGACCCTGGATAGTCTACAGTCCCACCAGCCTAAACTGGGGCAGTTTATATTTTCCTGTCCTTGAGCTCACTTTTTAAATTCTTAATTGTCTTTAGCTCCCCCAAGGGCCATTAGAGCTAAATGAAGCCCAATCATTTAGGGATGAAGAGATTCAATAGGAAATTCAGGGTAAATTCTGGAAGCTTCCTAACCCAGCCCTTCCCTCCTATCCAGCTATCCTCCCATGCCAGCTGCCTCTGGGCCATAGCTCATGTCCAATGCTTTTCTTCTTTTGACTCAGCCAATTCCTTGGAATTATAGAGTTAAAAGAATGATAAGGGTCAAAGGTGTCACCTTCTACTTTAGGGGATTATTATCCCTAGCAGAATATGTTCCCCTAGGGATGGCTTCAGGGGCTGGCCTACTTCTGTGCTAAATGATTCACACAGTCTAGAAAATTGTCCTCTTAAGGGGGGCAAACCCTGCCTGGCAAACCCTTTGAAGTGATTAAAAGTTGCCCCCCAGCCCACCATCCCTTGTCATGAGTCATGGAAAGCAGCTGATCTACCTACAGAAGTTACTTGGTGAGGTTAAATGTCAGCACCCATCACAGCTTTTCCCAGGAGACCAGTCAGTTGGTGACTCATGGCATGTTGGAAGCCATCAGAGTTGAGAAAATACAACTCCATCTTAGAATTAAGTTCTTTCTAGCAGAAGTTATGAGGTGCCCTGCAGGTTTGGCCAGAAGCTAAAGATAACCTATTGCTTAAGGACACATCCTGCTCCGGAAGATCCCTACAAGGTCCCCTCCCTGATCTTCCCTCCCATAGTTTGCCCCGCCTAGGAATGTCCCCGCGGCAACCTCCCCCTATAGCCTGTGTGTGTATATATATATATATATATATATATATATATATATATATATATATATATATTGCAGCTTCAACAATAAAATTTGAGGCTTGATCAGAACTATGTCTTGCCTCCATTTCTTCCTGTCTCCTATCCTCTATCATTCCCTTCTAGGTGCCTCCTTGCCCCCACATTGATCTCCCGCTGGTGGGGACAATGGCACATACCTGGGTACAGGTGCTGTAGAGAAAATGAGTAGGGATATGAGGACAGGGAGAGGAGGCCCAGAGTTCAAGGAGGCATCTACTCGGAGAAGAGAAAGCAAGGGGCAGAAATGCCATAGGAAGAACTCGGATGAACAAGAAAGCTAGAGGGGAACACCAGCAGCCAGAAGGAAGCCAGTGCAGGGGGGGGGGGGTAGTAGGTTAATCTGGCTCAAATGGTAGAATTTCTGAAAATGCAAGAAGTTTGCCTACTGTCGTAACCTGTTTGGCTTAGTGGATAGAGCATCAGCCTGTGGACTCAAGTGTCCCAGGTTTGCTTTACCACCGTCAAACTGGCCTACAATCTGGCTTGCTTAGCATCCAAGGCTGATACAGCCCTTGCCTTTCACTCTGTGAACTGAAGACGATATCTAGACTTTAGTGCTCAGTCACAGGCCAAAAGCTGGATTTGAGCATATGGCCTGCATTGCAATGGGGAGCCCAGCGTGAGGGGGGCCCTTGAGACTCCAGCAGAGGTGCATCAGGAGGTGATGGAATATGAGGAGTGCCATCTTCACTTCTAGATGATTCTCTTATCCCTGCTTAAATGAGCAAATAAACGTTCCAATTACAATTGTTACCCATCATCCCTGGGGGAGACTGAAAGAGGTCTTTTCCTCCCAGGGAGGTTAGGGGTTTCCATTCCAGAAAGCAGGAGCTGGAGATCTGCTTTCTCACTCCTTCCTGGAGATCTCCTGGCCCTTTCTCATTCACATCCCTCCTGACACAGGAGCCTTCTTCTTCTGGAGAATGGGAACATGAGAAACATCCTTGAGGTGGATCTGGGGCAAGGTTTTAACACTTAGGACAATTT